AGACACCAAGCTGGGGCTTGACAAGGTCCAGGCTAAATTCTTGGCTCTGCCAACCCATGCAGCCTAGTTACTGTGTTTAGCCAGGTGCTCTGCTGCCTGCTTTAAAACAGAGTCAATGATTCTGCACTGTCCATCCACAGGGATGTCTGTATTACAAAGGTGCTGCAGCAACTGTCCTCTGGCAAGGATGGAAACTGAAAAAACACAGCAGGCAGTAAAATGCACTGCAAGGGTCTACAAGCCCAGCAGAGTCACTTGTGTGCAATAAAACACAACTGTGCAGCTGTGGGAGAGGGACATGATGGATAAGGTGGGTAGGAGACAGGACCCCGATGTCCCCTGATGCTCTATTTGATACACACAAAGGAGCAAAAGTGACTATTCAATACCAAATCAGCAACACACTCAAAAAGGGCTGCCTTCCTCCACACATTTCTGCACTTCAATGCAGATAGGTCACATCATGTTGACGCCTGCACAAAACTCACCCCTCACAACCTATTTCCTCAGCTGACAAGAAGCAGACTGAGGTCTTATCTCCTCAGCGGGCACAACTGTGGCTGGTGCAGAGGGAGGCTGGCAGCTGCACTTACACGTCTGCACCCAGGTCAGCTCTGCTCTGCAGGTTTTATCTTCATCCACTTCAGGGCTGGGCACCTTTCAACACCCTCGGTGTCGAGTAACTTCATGCCCCCAAGTGCCATAAACTTCTACAATGACAGTAACTCACAGATGGGTATGGATGGTTATAAAATCATGTCCTAAATTAGGACAGCAAGAGGCTGAGATTGGAAGAGTAGGAGGAAGTCAGGAAATCCCAAGAGAAGATGATGGGGGAGGGATTTAGTCTCTTTAGAAAACAATAATGCAGTTTAATCTATTTTTCTTCTGACTTTACACACCAAAATAAGCTTCTCAGCTTCTGGGGCTGTCACAAATCATACGGAAAATAAGGCCACTGGAACCCCATCAGTAGAATAAGAGTTATATAGTAATAATCCTGAGGAGCTGCACAGGGCTTTCCATCTTCAAAGTGTTTTACAGACAGTAATTTATTAATCTGCAAATTTCCCCCGGCCATCAGCAACTGCTCTGCCTCTCTGCTCAGTGCGACAGACACAGAGCACAGATCGGCCCTTGGGAGAGACGGCTCAGGCGGCAGCTCTGACCTCTGGAGCCTGACCTCTGTTTCTTTCTCTCTGAAGCTGCAAGTTCTCTGCTCCAGTCACCACCTGAATTGAGCAGCACTGGTGACATCTGGCACCTTGGAGCCAACTTCAGAGTGGACAAAACCAGTGCCTGAAAGCCTCTGATATCAGGGAGTGTAAAAGACATGCTCACAATCCAGCAAATAACAGCAGAGCCTGAAATAAAGCTCCCAGGACAGAAGCTCCTGGCTGCCTTACAGCCACTGCCTGCCATGCTGGGGTGTCATTCTGGGTAGAAGCTAGCCCCAGTTCTGGGCTCATCCTACCACACAGCCTGTCTGAGAGTCTGATAGTTCCCCAAGGGAGCTATCAGAGGCATTCCTATGCAAACACGATGATTCCTCCCACCAAAGCACTATTTATGCACAGCAGGTACCTGCTAACACTTTATACATGTCCTTCAGATAATCAGCATGAGGCTGCTCCTCCTCTCATGGCAGCAATATTCTTCTGCTTTTGCAATTCCCTAAGACAATACTCCTAACCACCATCCCCTCCCCAGCCCTCTCCCTGCAAAAGCTGAGAATTCTTGGAGAGTAAGAGAGCAGCCTGGTTAGCAGAGAGAGGAAAATGGAACAACTACAGCTATATCTTCTACATAAGCCGGTATCTAACATCAGCTAGCTTTGTTCAGAAATAAGAACGTAACATTATTCTGTATTCACACTGTTCTTTGTCCAACTGCTTTTTCATCTCTTTTAAGCCAGTGTATATTTATATGACTTCAGTAGTGCCAAAGAAATAATTTTAAGACCAGAACTGGGTCCATTGGTTTTTGTAATCCTTCTCTGGATATCAGAACACTGGGTTCACTAAGCATCCTACAACACAAGTGGGGAGCCTCATTTCCAACTTAGGGATGGCTTAGCTAGGCAATGAAAGCAAAAGACTCCAAACACCATTGCAAACACTATGCCAAAGGTCACAAGTAAGGAATTCAAACCCATGCACTGCAGATCACGTACACTCTTAAGACCAGAAAAGATCTACCCTCGCATACAGTATGAGTGAATAGAAGACTCAGGCACCAATTCAGTCTCAGACTCCACATCTTTTACTCTACACTACTCAGATCACATTTCTTTCCTCGTACAGTTTGCACCTCCCTTCCGGCAAGTGATTTTGTTGCAGCACCAGCCTCCACACGCAGCAGAAACAGCAGAGCCCAAAGAACAGATGTTTCGAGCCACAGTGCTGTAGGCGAAATCTGGGGGGGAAATAAAGTTTATGGATTTGTCTCTCCAGTAAGAAGCAGGGTAAAGCACAATGCTGAAGCTTTCTGACACATTGCCAGGGAGACTGTCAGCTATACTGGCTGAACTGGATGGAAAGGCTCCTTGCATCACAGCCAGAGCAGTGCTGGTATTTTAAAGCTGAAATTTAGCAAGTGTTGGCTCCTCATCTCCCCTGCAAGCCCACAGAGCCTGGGACTCAGCAGAACCGGTACCCCTGGCTTGGACAGTCTCTGGTCAGTGTTGTTGACCACACTGCTCCACCAGGAAGGATGGCAGAGGCAGAAAAGTGGCAACAAACCACAGAAGGACTCCTGTCCCTGCCTCCAGCCTTCCTCAGTCCAGCCTTGGCTGGAGAGAGAGCTGGTCCCGACAATACAGCATTACATGACTTAATAGTCAAAGCACAGAAAGATATTCATCTGAAATGACAAATCCCTACCAAGTTACACATGTTAAATATCCCAGGAGCCAGGTTCCTCATTGAGAGCTACCCATCGCCATGGCCTTGCTTGGTGTTAGGCGACCACCAGGGCAGCTGTAGACTGGGCACAGCCCTTCTGCATTCACTCCAGATAACCTCAGCTCTGGTCCCCTCACCCATGCTTCCTGCTCCTGAAAGAAAAAGCAAGTCCAAATGCTGCAACATTACCAGAGCAAGTCTGGTCTCCCATACTGCTCTGTATTTACAACTTTGCAAGGGTGAAACGAGCTCCAGTCGCCTTTTGGTGCCAGCCTCAGGAAACCCCACAGTGTAACAGAGGGCTGCACAAACAGCTGCCCCTCCATCCATCTACAAACAGCCATCCAGGCCCATCATGAATAACAGAAGACATTTTGACAGCCCAAACTGTTTTATGATGTCCATGGCATAAAAAGCAAGCTCTGAACTGAAGAGTGTGTCTGACACCACAGACCTCCAGATAATTAAATGCATATACTGCATTGGATTTGCAGGAGAGACATATTTTAACTGATCACGTGTCTCATGCATCACCCTTTGACACTTATGTTCTTGCAGCGCTCTACAAGGGCTCTGAGCATCCTGTACAGAAAACCTCTGCTGAAGGAGGAATATTTAAATAGTACTAGACACCCTACAAAAATGCATGGAGGGTTCTGGTTCTGCCAGATCCATTGGCATGAGCCTGTGTTTCCCAAATGCCAGGGTGCTCATTTTCACGGCTCCCAGATGACTGTATCAGCTTTTAGGGTAGCTCTAACATTTCCTGGGCAATCCTGGTTCAGTTGCACATACCTCCCATTTCTGAAAAAGCCCAAGATGACTGCACGTGGGGAGTCATAATGCTGCCTCAGCAGGAGGGGGATATTGCGTTGGTGGAGAGTAGAACAGCATGTCCAGAATCACATGTAAAGCAGGGATTTTCCCAGCAAGCAGCAAAGATCCATGTCACTGGATCCCTCCTTCCCCTGGTGCTCCTGCTACTTGGGGTTTAGCAGAGGAGACCCGGGCCGTATATTCTTTCTCCTTTGCTGTTTCCTCATTGCTCACCACTTCCACCCAGTCCCTGTCAGCCAGGATGGGACATCCCCTACCAAAGACCACAGCCTACTGTGAATGCCTGCAGCCCTTGGGCAGCCCAAGGAGGAGAAAAGCCTCCCAGCCTCTGTGATGAACACTGCACTGAAATGAACCTTGCTGAAGTGCATGATGTGAATTCGGCCATGATAATTCAGTATAGTCCAAGAGGGAATGACACAAGAGCTGTTCATCTGCTCAGGATATTATAACTTCTTGTTTGTCCCTTGCTGCAGAGGGACAAAGGTTCATGGGGGAGGCTTGTCAATCCTCTGCACAGCCCTTATTTCTGAGCATTTCCCCCCACAAAACCAGCGCCTGTTCTTTCCTCCCTCCCCCTTTCCACTCGCCTCCTGTAAATCATGCTGTCTCCTTCCGCCCCCAAATAGGAAGTCCGGAGCCGAGACATGCACAATCTGCCTCTTCAGAAGAGCTGGGCTGAACGTGTGCCAGAGGAGCTGCGAGCATGACAACATATTTCCTGTCAGGAAAGTGACTCAGTGAGACGGGTATCAGAGCTCCTCTTACTCCACAAGTTCCCCTCTCCCCTTGCATTGCTGAGGCATGAGTCAGAATTGGAGAGCCGAATCTCAACCCCCTCCGGATCCAACCAGGAATAGCAGAGTTCAGGTTCAAGTCTGAGTCCTGCTTGCAACCCAGTGACAAGTCAACACCACGTGCCAAGCCCTGGTTTCATCCCTCACAGAAGGGGAATAAAGATACTGACCAAGTGGGCAGCTTGAATTTACAAAGCACTTTTAGGTCGAGGTGGTGTTTTCTGCTATTTGCTAATGTACCCATTTACACCAACCACACTTGTAGCCTCCATACATGAGCATTGTACAATACCCCACAGAACTAGCATTGTGTTCAATACTTTGCTGAAGCATTTTACACACAACCCTTTAATCCAGAAATGCTGTAAATTCTTAAAACTCGCTGCAGACAGTTTTATTCTCTGGCCTCAGGTCAGCTCTTCCCACAGTAAGTAGGCAGACCCATCGCATGCCATGTCCTTACCCGAGCCTCTGCTGAGGGTGACCATGGACAGCCAGAGTGTAACCAGCAGGACACTGACCATCTTCATCCTGCGAGACAAAGCACACAGAGTTTCTGGTTATTTGACACTGTTTCATCACTGCAGGCAATTTTTTAACTCTGAGTGTGTGTGTGTTTATCCCACCATCCACCCAGTGATCCTTTAATTCTGGTAGGTTCTTTTTTTATTTCATTAAGATGCCTTGAGAATAGTATCTGCGTGGCAGCATTGCTCCGCCTGTGGCAGCTTGCCAAGCCTGGGAGGTGATGGCTCTGAAGAGGACAGCCCAGATCATTGATTCAAGTCACTGGAATAGTCTGTATCTGGAAGCACAAGGAGTAAAATAGGTGCTTGCAGGCTAGAAATCCCGACCTTTGACTCCCAAAACACCGAGGTCCTTTGCCAAGACCTCATTCGGCTCATTTCTAAGAACAAGTGCAGAAAGCACTTGCGACGGTGAGCGGCAGCTGAAGCACAATTGCACTGAATATGTGTTTGACGGTTCAACAGGACAACCACACTAGTGCAGTCCAAACTGGCAAGGTCTGCTGTTGGTGACCTGCAAAGAGGCTGGTTGCCAGAGTCCTGACTGCTTCACTCTGCTCCTACAGGCAGTGGAGGCAACACAAGGCCTCACCAGCCCTTTTCAGTCAAACCCTTCTTTGAACAGCCACCTCACAGGAGTAAACAAGCATCAGGTTTGTAGGCTTTTCAGAAATGATTTGAACAAAGGCTTATACTTTCTAAGCAGCTCTGATAAGCAAAAAACAATCCCAGACTTTTCCATTCCTGCTACAGAGCACAATTTCCTGTAATTTGAGATAAATGTACATTGCCAGAGTTTCACTGGCTGACCGCTCCGGTATCTGGCATTCAGCTCTCAGAGCTGCTTGCTCACTGGAATTAAATCTCCCTCTGTTTCTAGGTTTTTCAGGATGCAATTTATAAGCTGGTAGTCATGAAAACTGACATCTACTAGATGCTCTCATTAACGGGGTGAAGGTCGTATTTGATATTCCTAGGTGCTGTCAGATCACAAAGGGAGAAGAGATGGTTAAAAGGCTGAACTTCATCAAAGCATCTCAGCTCCGCCAGGCAGATGCAGTAACGAGCATGGTGATACTGTCAGGAGTGTGCTTACGAGATGACAGGGAAACCTGTTCCATCACGGTGGGTTAAAAGTGTGGGGAGAGAAGCCACAGAGCTCCCTTAAACACGTCCCTCATAAACCTGTCCAGAATATATGCAGTACACAGAAGCGCTTTGAGCATAAGCAGAGAGTACCTATGATTGCACAGACTGCAGAGATTAACAGGAATGGGACACGTGAACTGTACTTCTTAAAACCCAGCAGCGGATATTGAATCCTTCCTTTTCAATGCTTACATCTGAAAAGCCTTTGTGCAACGCTTTCCTTCTGCTGGGCTCATCTCAAAGAGACAAAGGAAATCCGGAGTAAGCCTGCTCTTCCCTGCACAGTCCATGTGAAGGGCTGCAGATTGCCTCTGAAGCCATCAGGCTTTAAAAAATGGGCAAGAAGCAGGGAAGAAAGTGAATCTTCTTCCCTGAGGTTTAGTTGCGGGCTGGTCATCCCCTACTGCCTTCCTCCAAACTGAAATACCAGCTGCTAATCAAACCCTTCTCCAATGCCACCAACAACCAGCTCCCAATGTTACTTAAGAATATTCATAGAGAAGAAACAGCATTCAGTACTCCCACCCCCCGAAGATGCTGAAGAAAAATAAAACATCTTTACACCATCAGATCGGACAGAGAAAACCAACACGCTGCACTTCTGGTAGGAACTGAGGATCTTTTGGTAATTTAGATGCTCGAAGAGAGGGGGTGTAAACAGCGACGGGGAATCATTCCCATAATAAAAATCCCTTATGATTCCCTCTCCATTTGTCATTAGCTAAATGCACGGCGTGTCCTAACTCACCCTTATTTTCCAATAATTCTCTCCTGCATTTTGCACAAATCGGACTGAATTCAGCCCTGAAGCATGCAGGAACAACTACTGACTTTGGATGAGTTTATCTTGTATAGAGCAAGGCCATTTATGTGGCCCGAGGCCAAAATAAACTACTACATTTCACTCAGTGATACATGAACTCTGCAGCGAGCTAATATTTACATCCATTAGCTATGTTCACAGGAACATGCTCCTTTCAACTGTCTCAAAGAGCCACCAAGTCTCTGTTCCCACGAGCAAGGTGTCCAAGATTTCCATGCTCTTCCTGCTAGTAAGAAAATCCTTCCTTCTTGCTCTACCGAGCTATAAAATCAGAAGCCTTACACAGAGTGATTTACTTCTGGTTCATTCCAGGCTCTCCAGAGATCTTATCAGTGAAGGCAGACAGACACAGAGCCTGTCAGATTGCAGCAATTTCTCCATTACGGGAAAGGGATGCACTTGACCACAGCCCTGGCTGCTCTCACAGTGTACAAAATGCAAGGGTCCATGGAAGATACACATACAGAGTCAAGGGCTGGTCAAGAGGAGCTGTCGCAGCCTCCTGGATGCCCTGACTGGGCCAGCATTTGCCAGCTGAGATAAAGGAAGAGGATACTCTCTGTTTGGTAAAGAAATGGAGAGCTCACACACTCAGTGAAGAAGATAAAGGGGACAGTAGGGCAGGATGGCTTCTGCAGTCCAGCTCCACTCCTGTGGCACACGATTACTCAAAAAACCCCTAAAACCCCAAAAAAACAAAGCCACAGGATCTGATGGTTTGTACTAACACAGGTTCTGTGTACTAGTGCTGCTAGCACTGGGATGCTTTGCTTTAAATAGCCCCAAATCTGTGATCTACCCCAAACAGAAAGGTCTCCCCACAGCAGTCCTGTTGTCACACAGAATGGCATTGCATCCAGTTGCAGAGAGAGGGGGTGGGTTTTGCAATGCCCTTAAGAACCTGACACCACAGGACTACAACCCACCCCAGTCTTGCCAGGAAGGGAAGAGTTTTCTCAACCTTCTTTGTTTCGTGACATCAGAAAGCATGTTGCCATTTTGCCTGTAAATGGTGCAATTCCAGTGGTGCCTGATGAACTTCTTATGCAATTCCGTAGCACTGTGCTGAAACACCAGCATCTCTGGCTGCAAGCGAAGGAGCCAGAGGCCAGGGAGTGCAAACTCAGGTGGCAGCAGAGGGGTTCACCCAACTGCATCCACCCAAAGCAAATAAAAATAAAAGCAAACACTAAAGGGAGCCAGGAATAAAATCAGTGAGCAGAAGAGCTTACCAGCTCAGAAATCACATCACAGCTAGGAAGCAGGCAATCAGAGCAGCCAGAAGACAGCTGGAGAGCTCTGATACATCCTCAGCACTTCAGGAACTTCTCACGAGACCAATATACTCTGAGGTGTTCTTAATATCTCCATAAATTAACATTTCAATAATAATAATTCATAGAGTGGTTGGGGAAAATGATCCATCACAGCCACTGTTAGAATTTTTTTTAAAGAACTTACTTGATATGTTCACTTTGTTTCAAATCAAAAATTGTTCCCTGAGCACTTTCTTCTTCAAACTTTCACCTTCTTTCTACTGAGGAGCAAAGAAAAGTGGGGTGAGGAGAAACACAGTCACAGAAGTGTCTCCTTAACAGCAAAGAGGGTGGAAAGGTTTGTGGTGTTTTTTTTTTCATTTAGTACTGGTCACAAGTGGCATTTATGTCAGAAAAAAACATGAATATTTTCATATAAAACACCTTTTAATAAAACACCTTTTCCAAAGACCTCAGCAAAGAATCATTCACTCCTGCCTTTAGCAGCACAGACCCCATAAAGCCTATGCACTTTCTAAACAATTATAAAACCCAAGATAGATGTCAAATAATTAACAAAGAGAGCTGCACTCTAAGTAACTACTGCACACCTATTCTCAAAGACACTGTACCAATTCTACAGAACAATGCTGCATTTTCCAAGAAAAGTACCTTTGTCCCTCCTAACCACAGGCATCTAGGGAGGGCTGGTAGGTTTTCTGCTTTTCACTGAGAAGTCACACTATGGTCTGCAGAACAAAAGCACCCTTCAAAACCTTGCCACTAAGTGCTCTGGCTGAAAGGGTATTTATAATAAAGCACTTTCAGAAAGAGGAAAAAAATAACTTCAGCCAGAGCAGCTTTTACATACTATTTTCTTTCTATAATTCTGTCCAAAGTCAGAAGCATTTGAGAGCATAGGACTGGCCCCAAAAAATGGGATGTAGACAGAGGAAGGCTAGCAAAATCCAGAGTGGGATGGCTTAGGAAATGCTTTGTTTCTAAGCCACATGGACTTGAGGATGAAGGCTGAGTGATGGGCTGCAGAGCCAGGCTGGTGCTCAAGAGAGAGGCACAGCTCCTCTGCTCCCACATCACAGTGTGCTCACAAGCCCTGGGTCCCTGCATCCTCATGCAGCAGCATTGGAGAAGGCTGCTCGATGAGTCTGCTGTGTTTTCTTATGGGGAAAAATAAATGTACAGTTCAAGTAAATTCAAAGAATCCAAAAGGCAGACAAAGGGCAGCCTGCAAAAGCAACTGCAGAAAAGTAACAGCAAAAACACTAATGGAAAATGGGAAAAGGCCCTTCTGCCCTCCAGGAAACACTTTTGCTTTTCAGTACGTGCAGGAGTAAGTCAGACAAAAGGGGGAATTACTGTAGCATAAACCATCTCGGTGCCACTTACCCGGGATTTGCGCAGTGTCTCGCTGGCCCTGCCCCTCCTCTGGAGGCCATTTGGGCACTACATGGCACCACCCTTTGCTGGGGTGTCAGCAGCTCCACTCTGCCCAAAGCGGAGCCACTCCTGCAGAGAGCTGGCCAGTCCCATGGGCAGCCCCCCAGAGGAACGGAATGTTACACCGCAGTCTCTGGGAATGGGGGTAGAAAGACAGGTGATGGGGTTCAGAAGTCCAGCCATTACTCCTCAGGAGGAATAAACACGTTCATTACAATTTTCATTCCCAGACACCTTCCAGGAACAGAACGGGGAGGAATCAAGCAGCAATTTGATGATGAAAGCCATAAGCAGCTCGGAGCACTTTCCCTGCTCTAGTGCATGCTCCGCCACACTCATCACTTCAAACACAGGCACACTGACCAAAGGGCCCCCAGTGCTGTCCTCAGAAAAACATTTGCATCTCCCCTAAGGGCAGGGAGTCCAGTTTATCTTGGCAGGAGCTCCCTAACAGCCAGCACATTTCAGCAGGAATCAACCAGGGCTGAAGCCTGCCCGGCAATCAGGGATATCGCAGGAGCCATAAGTGTGACCCAATCAGCACATCTAATGGTGACACATCCAAGGCATGTGCAGGGACCTGCAAGATCAACACTGAAGTCCCACTTCTGCCAGGGTAGCTGCACTCACCAGGCTATCACATGCCTGACAGCAGAGCGGGCTGAAAGGAATTTGTTCTGAAATGTTTCTATTATAAAAGTAATTTATGTCATCAGAACCAAAGGAAACGTTTCAATTTGAGCAGCCTGAAAGTTTTTCACCAACTAGAATTACACCAGATATTACACACCTACTTTTGTAGAGGGAAAAAAAAAAATAAATTACTGGGAGTCAGATGCAAAGTTGCCCTGGTGAGAGGTGTCCCCTCTCACTAGCACAGAGCATCTTCTGTCTTGCTTGGCCAGAGCTGGCCACTTGAACACAGGACCTGGAAGCACTGGCTCCCAGCACTGGGGAGATACAGTGCCCACACACACCTTTACACCAAGGTCTACCAAGTACCCTGAAGAGAAGGGGGGGAAAAAACTAAAAATAAAACCAAACACACAACAAAAAAATCTGGAAACAGTCTTCTCAGTCAGTGGCTCAGCCAGCTCATTGCCAGTCAAGGACATGACATCAGGCATCTGAGGTTGTTCCATTTGCCTGTCACCCACCACAGCCCCTACCTGGCCTCCTGCCTGCCCATCCAGGCCAAGGGCTGCAGTCTGATGTCTTTTTAATAACTAATTTTCACTAAATCCCCGACATGGGGAGGAATGAACCCAGCAGTGTGCCACCCAGAGTCACCACAGGAGGTGGTCCCAAGCTATTTCTCCCTCAAAAGAGCAGCACAAATTGCATGAGCAATGCTCCAAAAGCACCAAGAGCTCCTGAGGGCAGAGCAGGCAGCAGCCTCACCTCAAGCTCAGAGGCTCGGGGAAAATTGCAGAGATTTTCATTCACAGTGAGTCATTTCTGGGAGCTTCCTTGGTAGTGTAAGATTTGCCTCTGCCAGTGCCAATGTTTGGGACATGGAAGCAATTGCCAGGCAAGGAATTTGTGATTTGCTATTGACATTTAGATACCATCTCCTGGCGTCCTTTTGGTTCAACGGATTTAATACTAATAATCAGAATTCAGATGAAGAAACTATTTTTCTCCCTCTCAAAAGGAAAAACGTGGAAAGGCAGGGGTGGCTTGAAAATATGTCTAAAGAAACTCAGTACACCCTGCTTCTCTTTGCAGTTCTCCTGGGGTCCTCTCAGGACTTGGCAAAGCAGAAATGCTACAGATCTTACACACTGCTCTGCTGGAAGCCAGGGTGCCACTGATTATACTCTGGCAGCTATTTAGGAGGCAGAGCACGCTGCATTTCATACATCAAAAATAAACTAGCACAGTAATCTGTCATCTCTACAAAATATGCACACCTGGACAAGACAAATAAACAGCTGGGGCTACCACCTAGAGATCTGTGGAGTGGGCTGAAGAGGGGCAGGTAGAGCCACAGCTATAAAATCAAACAGCACAGACTACAAATGCATACATGCTGGCCACCAAGCAGTTCAAACACCAAGCTACAAGAGCACTTCTGTGCTCAAGCAAAAGGTATCCAGCCAAGATAGTCTATTTTTTAAGTCTGAATAGCCAGGGAATGAAAAGTTTCCAACAGAGCTTCAAAGAGAGCCGGGATCTTCCATGAAGCCAGACACAATGCTTCTATTTTGGACGGCAATGTTATAGTGAAAGGAGAGTTCTGAGAAATACCCACATATTGCACTACCACAAAATAAACTGATAAACTAATCTTCACACAGAAAAAAAGAAAGCTGTAATCAACATAGCTCAAAGACTTGAGAAGACTTAAGGAATCCAGAGTGAGATTCCTCCCTTGCTGGAAAAATTCCAATTAGTTCTCACAGAGCACCTGGAGACATCTGACGAGCATTTAATTTACACATTCTGCCTCCTGACCTTTTTAATGGTTTTTCAATGTAAGAAGCTTCAATATCCTCCCTAAGAGGTTGTTCCACTGCCATGGTGGACACAGCAGCACATCCACATTGTGCAACAGATTGCACAGCAGCAACCCCAAGTTAGCTCTGCCCAAGTCTCTAAATCCAGAGAACACAGTGCAGATTCGAGCAGGTTTATCAGCTGAGTTTACTGCCTTTCACACCACCAGCCTGCGACTCTTGAACCCCAGAGCAGCTTTCCCAGGAGAGGTATCTCCTCATAAGTCCAGCCTGGCACAGCCAGTGCTCTGCTCACTCCATATCCCCACCATCACACCAGGGGCTATACCCAGCCCTGCCCAGCACTACCTGCAAGAGGGTCTCAGTCTCAAAAAACACTCCAAGAGTTTATTTTCCTAAATTCAAGGACTTGCTGCCAGATATATACCTGCTCCTTCATTTCACCTCCTCCCCTTATAGCCCTCAGTGCTTGCAGACCAGATTCCCACGGTGGCTGCTCTATATTCAGCCATCATCTTCCCCTTCTTGTTCCTCCAGAGAGGGACACGGCAGGCAAAAATCCTCCAAGCACCACCATGCTCCAGAGCACATCATCACTCTTTCACTTCCCTTTCCAGAAGTGCCACAAATTCCTCAGGCAGCCTGCAATGTCTCCAGCACCGCAGCAGGTTTGCCCATGCTGTTGCCAGTGGGGAAGACCCAGCTTTCCCCACAGCATAAGAGAAGGATCTCCTTAAGTGACTCTTGGTATGCTAGGATAAGCAACATATTCAAGGGTAAAAGCAAGTCAGATGAATTTTTCAAGTTTGGGCCACACAGCAGTTCCACATCGGTACTTATATTAATCACGTTAATTTAATCCCATTTAGCCTTATACGTAAAAGCAAACAAGAATAAGACATCAAGATGCTTCTATCCCTGTCTGCAGCTCAGACAGGCTGTTCTAAGTGTACTGTACACATCAATCCATGGCAAAATTTAAAGCAATACTAAAACAGAAAGCCCAGGAGCTACTGGCCTCTCCCAGGACAGCATCCCACTTACAAACAGTTCTCCAGAGGTCCTTCCAGCCCTCCACATTCCCAGCCTACCCACTTGGTCCTCCTGGTGACTATTCGAGCAGCTTTCTTTTGCATACTGCCCCTTCCTGGTAAGCATAGTACAGCTGCACTCTGCAAAGGGGACTAGAAAAAGCCAGGTACACACAAAAAAAAGAGGAGGTAAAGAGAGACAGAATGAGATAATCCTTCCCCTGTGATGTGTACTGGATTTGCTCCCCATGTCTCTAACATTTCCTTCTGCAAATATTCAGTTGCACCATCACAAGGAACTTGCTCAGGGTCTGCCTGCACTGACTCCAGCAGTGCAGCTCAAAATTCAACCTTCAAACAACACCACCCTGATTTTTAAGTCCTGGAGCCTTCTTTGAGAGTCTGCTCTCTGACCCACAGCATGTACACAGTGCGAAGGCTGAGATGGAGCTGCAGGCAGCAGTATGCTGTGATTGTCATCAATATTAATTATTTGGGGAGAATATGATTGATCTCATGAGGGCAACGAATTCATTTCCCCAGCTGAATGACAAACAAAAGGCAATACATTCGCTGCTGACATTTCCAAAGGCTACAAGGAGCAGCGACACAAGGAAATACTGCTGTGCACTAAAACCCTGCTGCGAAGGGCCAAAAATCTGAAAAGCCTCCACAATTTTAATTTCTGAGCACTTTCAAAGCCAGGAAGTGGATGTCTCAATATCCTGAAATCTGTGCTGACCCTGGCCCTGGGCTGGCTCACTTCTCTGCATTGAGAGGAAGTAATCACTGAGTGTCTTTAGAAAGCTCGGTTGAGTTTCCCTCCTGGTCTTTGACACTTTGTGTCAGCAACTACAGTCATTGCACCTGTCGGACAAGGGGGGGAAAATGCTTATAAAGGGGGAAACATTACCTTCCTGGGTAGTCACAACCTAGGGCTATTCAGCACCGCTGCAATGCAAGATGCAGCTCCCCTGTGCAATGGGAGAAAAGAAAAACAAAGTAAGCCTGGAGAAAAACATTTCCATCTCTCCATGACCTTGAGTCAGGGTGTCTATGTTTGTGCAACCTCCCAAGAAGACAGAATTAAACAGCCTCCCTAAATTCCACATAGCAACATGAGAGAGAACAAGGAAGGTGGAGAAAGGTAAATTGCACTGAGACTGCAGTTATTTTTTCAGGAGACTGGATATGGGGAAACCCAGTCCGTGGGGATGTTACTCCAGTGGAGTCTTAGATTTGTCATGTCGTTCAGTCACCCCAACACATCAACCCTGTCTGGCTCAAAGGAAACCAGCACAATTTATTACAGCAACACATTTTGGGATCCAGCAGCACATCTCTGTTCATTCAAAGAGGTTGGGTGGCCTCAAGACCTCCACAGCCTGCCAGCTGGGCAGCAACACATACATTCTTGTCCCATTACCAAGACCCCTTCTTAGAAACAAGGGCTGGAAACTGTCTGTATCTTGAGGGAAGAGGGGGGAGGCAGCTATTTCCAAACAGAACAAATCCAATTATTTGTATTAGAGTGAATTTGCATGGTTCTTACCGTCAAAATCAGTATTTTCTAACGATCTGAGCTTTGACTCAACAGATTGCTAACAAACTTATGTAGGTGGGGCCCTGGATGGTACTACGGTGGGAGGGAGGTGAGATCGTCGTACTTATTGCAAACTAAACTCAGAAAAAATAACTAGAAATTTGGACTATTTACTCTGCCATTTACTATACTTGTGTAAGTCTCCAGGGTTGAAGATTTTAAAGCAGTCTGCTAGTTAAGGGTAGAAATACAAATTTCTGTTAATGTACATGAAACCTACATGTAGGCATCAGTCACCAAAAGCAGTGCAGGAAAAATTGTAGTGCCTCCCTGATAATCAAGCATTAGAGAACTTATAAATAAATGGCTGTTTCCTGAACTGAGTGCATTAGTAGAGGCTTCTGCAATCTGTGCCTCTGTTTCCCCAGCCACATTTATAACAGCCTCTCGCCACCTCACACCACAGCTGTGCATCTTAACGTCTCTAAAGTGCTTAGAGATGCTGAGACGAAAGATAACATATGAGTGCAAAGTATAGATTAATTCCCTGAGCTCAACAGTCAGTGGAGCTGATGGGGCTAAATGTCTCACCTACCCATCATATAAAACTGAGGTTCTGAGCCTGTCTTAAATAGTAACTACTTAAGCAATAGTTCCCTTGGAACAAGTCATTTTGAGGCTGGTTAGTCGGGCACATGGAGCCTCAGCAGAGGGAAAACACAGAAATGCAGTATAGTACTATGAAAAATAGATGCTTTTCCAGAAGGTCTTAATCATGTTCCTATAGAATTTGGTAGTGGGATTTCAACTCATTTCAGTTAGAGCTGTTCACATTTTAGCAACCACCACATTAAGAACGTGGCCAAACATAATTTGAAAAGCTTTTTCCACTTCTGTTTGTTTTTTAAATTATTAAAAATCCAGTTTAAATAGCGCAAAGAAAACTTTAAATTGAGCAAGATAACTGTTGGCATCCTTCCAAGTAGACGGCAAACCCCAAAATGTTACTGCAAATCCAACAGATGGGAGTTATTTTTCACTCTTTAAAATTTCATTCCTTTGCACTGAGATTAACTGTAATTAGCTCTTTATTTACATCTAACACAAAAGGTAAAATGACAGAGAAAGGCAACTATAACCACAAATCATGGGCAGAAAAAGGAAAAAAAAGGCAAAAATTTCCTCTGAGAAGAAAACATATCTTTCTCGCCAAGTAGGATAATTGTTATAAATATATAGTTAAACAGCTCCACAGCATCCTGTCACTACTCAGTATAAACATTTAGGTCACTGTTTTGCAAGCTTTTACACACAAGTTGATCAAATATCTAAGAATCATCCTCTGAATATCTAAAAAATCTCACATCCCTATAAACGGACAGCATCAGGCCTAAGGGAGGCAAGACACTCCATGTCACTTTTATTGCAGTCACAGAAGGGATTAAGCAAAACAGTGAGGAAAACAAACAAACACAAAACCAAATAATCAAACCCAGCAGCTTTTCCAGATAAAGAGAGAGGTATTAAAACTTACTTTTTTTTTTCTTTCTACCTTTTTTTTTTTTAAGTCCTCTTCTAATTCTCATAACACTTTGGATTAGTAAAGCTGAAGAGGCCTCTTAAGAATTCATGTAAGTGCATGATTCATGCTCTATCTTTGCCTTTCAGTTGCACAACAAAGCTGGAGCTGCATGTGGAGCCCACAACCAGCCTCTTACCACGGTACTGCCAGGCTGCACCAGAGAGCTCCCCACTTGCACCCAGACAACGCACTGACCCGTGGCCACGCTGGCTCAAGATGAAGGCCAGATCCAAAGCTGTAAGGGTTAAAGAGTAAAGCTTGCCCAGCCGTGCCTAAGCAAGCTGCTAGCAAAAAAAAAAAAAAAAAAAAAAAAAAAAAAGAGTGAGCA